AATAGTTCACCTTGCAGTACGTTTGAAAACCAGGATTTTCAATAATTACGGGTGAGCAATCAAGTGTGAATTTAAAACTGAACCAGGGCAAAGCGCACAGTAAAAACGTAAAAACATACAAGTTAACGCAAGAAATCTAAAAAAGATTCCTAAAACAGAAAAAAATCAAAAAAAAAAATCTTGAAAAGAAAAAAAATCAAGAAGTGACGTTTTGAATGGAAAATACAATTGAGACAAAAAAGCACAGAATGAACTAGCAGATGTATTAAAAATTAAGAATTTTGTTTTAAATAATTCTAAAAGCAATTTCTAAAAATGGAAAGAAAACAGTCGCCAAAAATAAAATTTTAAAAGAAAAGAAAAAATTCAAATAAAAACAAAAGGCACAAGTTAGTTTAATGGATGCGTCAAAGAAGGAGAAATTTAATTAGATAATGTACACGGAAATAGACAAATTAAAAAACACTTTGCGGGAAAAAAAGTTCTTCGAATGAAAATGAGAAATCATTCCGGCGTGAGGTTCGTTGAGGGAGCAAAAAATTAACTTAAATTATTGAGACTAACGAAAAGTAAAAACTATTTTTCCTTCTTAATCGACAATTTGTTGAGTGGTGATAAGATGTGACGGAACAAGTGGTACCAAATAAGTGTTCTATTTACTGGTCAGTGGAAATGCGCTCTGTGGGGGGTGATGTAAAATGAAGAAATTCGGAAACGGAAGGGAAACTCGCCAGGGAGAACAAAAGAAAAACGAAAATAAACGGGGTCGCGACGAGGAACGCATTAATAGGTCAACCCGAGCAGCGAACACTGATATCACGTAAGAGTTTCCTTTTACCGCAATACGCTCAACCGACGCAGCAAATAGGGCAAGCTGGAATTTTAAACTTTCGGCAGGACGAGGAAACTGAAATTTTGGAACCAAAACCTCAATGCGTAAGCGAAAATAACAGCGGCAAGGGATTTTTACCTCGATTTTGAGGTAAAAGCTCTTATTGTTTTGAGGGACTAATTTTAGAGTCGGTTTTAAGCATTGTTCGAAGATTGCTAGCTTCGGTGGATAGATGTTAGATCATGAAGTAAAAAAGGTGCAAATATAGCTCTTGGAATGTTCCCTTAAAATTCCAGCTTTCTAGCTTTTCTGATTCTCGAGTTAGCGACTTACCCGCAAAAAACTTTCAGGGTCCCATACGTTTATCTTTTGTTGTATGGTGGAGCTGAGTGGTGAAATTTTAGTATTTTTTGGTTTGTTTTGGGAAAATCCGCATAAATGACTGGAGACAAGGGCGGGTATGCGACACTCTTGACCTCCAAAAATGCAAAACCAATTTCTCCAGCGACACCTGTACGACGGGCCATTATGCAAATCACTACTTGTGATCACAAATGAAACAGGTTTCAGCACATGCAAAAACCTGAAACATCCTCAGAGTTGGCCTAGCGGGCGGAGGAACAGGATCGTAGCATTTTCCCCATCCTTCCCGCATCGTCGAAACTGGCAAAGTCTCTCAACGAAATAAACGAACCTCCACCCTCATCTTGCTTCCAAAAGACACCCCCGAGCTTGAAAATTTCTTCACTTTCGCACAAATGGGAAATCTCGGGACCGTAAAAAGCCCTCAACCAGAAGCTGCGAAAGGCGGGAGAGAAAACGGAGTTTGTATTTAATTCTTAGAAAATTCTGCCATAATAAAATTACAGACCTATTCTAGCTTAACACTCACCTTATCTTTTTTCGTTTTCCAGTGAAACTGCAAAAAAAAACTAAAAAAATAAGAGTTTTATTCAGTTCACACGAGAAAGACAATAACAAAAATGAGGCAGGCAGTTTCAAACAATTTTTAGTAAAAAAAAAACAAATTTCGAAGAGGAATTTTTAAGTACATAGAAATACTGCTTAATCAAAGTGTAATAACTCAATTAAAATTACCCCAAATAAAAACTTCTATCCAAATATCTCACGACGGCAAGAGATCAGGAGCGGATTATGCAGTGTCGAGACATGGCGAGATATAAATCCTGACAACTCCAAGCATTCTAAGAAGCCATAACACCGTGTTTTACTTGGTTGCTTAAGAAGTGCCTGAGCAGTAAGGCCGGATTTCGGAAGGACACGGGATGGGGGTCGACTTGGCCTAAGTAAAAACAAAACATAACATCTTGATCGATGCCTAGTTCCTACTTAGAGATGTCTATAAAATGCCTCCTTCTCCTCTCTCGCCTCCGCTCCATAAGAGAGGGTATTTTGCAAGAAAGAGTGAATCAAAAACCGTTTTCTACGTAAAGAATGCTAAGAAACACCATCCCCATTTGCTTGCTGTTCATGAGAATTATTACTGCCCGATTAACAAATCTTCTCGACGAACAGCAGTCGAGGAAGCAAGCTGAATTCCAAAATGACTACAACACGGCGAACCACATTTTACGCTTTAAACCAATTGCTGGAACGTGCAAAGGAGTATCAGTGGCCTCTTGGTCTCCTGGTTATCGATTACGAAAAAGCATTCGACAGTGCGCGACTGAATATTGTACTACAAGATGACTCTGTGGAAATCATTGAGGATGCAAATACAGCAAATACAGATTGTTCGATTAACCAATCTACCAAGAAAAACAGCACGCAGTATCTTACCTGCGACCACTCGAGATAGTAAAATCCGATACGCACCTTGTTTCTAGCAGACGAATTTTGCATATCAATGAGGAGTAGCTGCGAGAAAAACCCCTCCGGCAGTCTTCGGAAAAATGGCCTACATGTACTGGACAATCGATGGGTAATAACTGGAAGAATTGGCATTGTATGGCCCGGAATGCGAAAAACGAACAACGGATTCCTCTGTACCGACAATTGATCAAGGCAATCTTGGCAATAATTATACAGAACACGAAAGTAAATGCATGAGAAAAACCCGTAAAACAATAAATTATATGGTAAGTTAAACTTTTCCTGGAACAGAAGAAAAAGCAATACAATCCAATATACCGAAACCGCACAACACCGAAAAAATCCTTCAATCACTGGCAAGAATATCAAAAAAAAACGGAACACCGAATATGCAACATAATTTTTATCTTTTTTTTTTTGAAGTTCTATCTTTAAAAAATAAACGAAAAACACTTTTTTTTACGAACAGAGTTAGCAATTTTTCCTGTTTTTTCTGCTTAATTATTCAGTCGTAATTTCGCTGTTTTCTCATGTTTCTCACGGGGTAGTTGTACTTCGAAGTTATCACGATAAATCGCAATTTTAAGGTTCTTTTTGCTCTTTCTTTACAACGTAAAATTTCTGATGAAACAAGCAAAAAAAGATCATTGAAAATATTTTGAGAACCAAACCATACACCATTAAA